CCCAGCTCAGTCGCCCTCCAGGTGCAAAAAGCTGATTGTTTGAATCAATAGAGCCAGGCTGGAAGGAAAACAGATGCGTCAAGGATTCAACCAGTACCAACACACAGTCACTCACACAACAGTCTTAAACTTGTACCATGAAGGGCCAAACAAGAAGTTTTGGCTCTGTAGACCAGAGTCTCTTTTATAACTATTGTGTAACATTAAAGAAACTATAGAAGAGTAAGTGTGCTGTGTTCTGCTAAAATTTTACACATGTACAATGAAACAAGAATTTGCACTTTTCATAAACTATCACTTTTTCCTCAAGAACACTCTTTCTACAAGCATTTTAAAATACAAAATCACTCTGAGCTCATGGGTGGTAGAGACAATTGATAGGCATGATGTCTTGTAGTGTGTGTGCCAGTTTGTCAACCCCTGGCCTAGGTCACTGTGAACACACGCTCTAGGTTTGGACAGTATAGGGCAATCCTGTCTCCAGTAATACAATCCATCTGAGATGAAAAATTTAGCTGTCAACTTCCAACATCAGAAAAGAGACCAACATTCCCACGTGTGCTCTTGCTGTCTGACACCCCATGATCTTCCTCTCACCACCACCAGGCCAGCATACCACTCCCCCTACCTTTGTGATCTTGGTGAGACGTGAAGTGTCAATGGGTCGGCTGCCTTTGCTGATAGGGACTGTGTTCCAGCCACCATCGTCCACAAGTGGAAGACCACGACCTAAGCAAAAAGAGCACACGGGATGAGGGGAGTTCCAGCCCGACTCTCTCTTGAGCCACTCTCACTCTTTGTTCCTCAGATCCTCAGTTCCATCATGGAGTCTCAGTGGCCCAGACACGTGGCACTAATAGGAAGTCATCAAAGGAAAGCACAACACTGAGCCCCCACACCCCCCTCTTGACCCCATCTCGAACTCACTGATGGGCGGGCCTGGAGGGCCACCTCGTCGCTTGTCACTGCCCTTTGCCATGAGCTGCTGCACTTTGATGTGCTCCCGATGTTCTTCCATCTCAGCTTCCTTGTGGATTTGGTCAATGGTCTTGGGACCCTGGTCCCCTCGGCGTGGTACCCAATTGCTCTGTGGACACAGGCAAAAAGCAAAGCAATGAACTCAGGTAGGGCTAATTAAGGCTGTGTTGGGGAAAGAGTTGTGGAGTTCAAGGCCCTAACAAGGACACAGTGTGGGAAGAAGACACATACCCGTCGTAGATCCAGCACATCTTGCAGCATAAAGCGAATTCT